ACACACACTACACACACACACACACACACACACACACACACACACACACACACACACACACACACACACACACACATACACACACACACACACACTCCATGGTACAAAACAAATTTCAGAAACTGTTTTGAAGATTTTTCATTTCTTAATTATTTATAATTATTGAATGGTGATGGTGGCTGTTCAGTACTCAACTGTATCATATGATCAGAGCTCGTTCTCAATTCATCTATTTCGGATTTCTTTGATATTTCCTCCAATTGGTAGCGTTTTCGAGCCCAACGCCAAAAGCATCCTTTTATATTTTCGAAACGTTCGAAACACGGCAAATATGACACATCAAGAATGGTTCTACTTTGTGTCCTCTGAAAAAATGTTGTAAGAACATTGACTTACGTGAAACTTACACGTGATGTTTGGAATTCGATTGGATGTCATTCAAATTTAAAAAGCTATAGAAATGTCTCTTCCACAGAAAATTGGACTTAACAAATATATTCTCGTTCATTTCACACATATCCATAAAGATTGTTTTATGAACTATCTTATTAGAAGTACAAATCAAGTTGGTGAAAAGAAACCTACCTGATCACAAAATATTAAGCATTTCTGTCCTGCAAATGTCGTCGTGACTCCATTCGTGATACAGCAATACCGATGATCATAACCCTGCGCCGCACAAAAATGGATATCACTAGCTGATAACAGAGGACATGGATCTACTTGTAAGAGCATTCTTCGAAGCTAAAAAAAAGAGAGATGCGTGACTAAACTAATTTAATTAATTATATAAATGGACATATTGTGAAGCCAACTTAAATTTTTGCTTTCATAAATGCTAGAAATAGCTTTTTAATTATAAATCAATGACTTTATAAGAAAGATTGCTTTGAATGATAACTTATGTTCTATGTATCAATTACTATAATCTGTTTCTATCACTGTTAAAACATTCTGATATTGATAGATACAAACTACACATTAAAAAAAACGCTTTAGTAAGTGGTGGAAAGATTAGGAAGAAATCGGAGAACTTACGATATTCTGGTCATAATTAACGTAGGAGCATTTCCGTAAGCATACTTCCGGCAATCCTCGTTTACGACAACATTCCAAAAATCCATCACTTTCATTACTGATCTATAGTAAAACAATCAAATTTCGTTAACCTTCAAGTAAATTTACTTTTGAATCCTTCCAAGCCAAAAAAAGTTTTAAATCTTTTCAAGGATGTCAACACTTTTCAGAACCGATTGACAAGAAATCAAATACTCCTCTGTACAATACTCTAGAAAACTTTCTAACATCCAAGCTTAAGCATATTTCAAATCCATCAAAAGCTATCACTTTTTGTGATAGCTTTTGGCTTCAAGTAAGGATTGAAATTTTAATTTCTTTAGCAAATATAACTCGACATTTAATTTGCAAGCGAAAATTGCCAGTCCTTTTGTATAGGTTTGTTTTTTTTTCTTCTGCATAAAATTGGTATAATTAATGAAATTATCGTCTAAGATTACAATTATCATAAGTTTAATTAAAATGCAGAACCGTAGAGATGAAAGGAGATGGCACTCGAGTCTAGTGAAGAAATCGCAATTCATTATTATTTTCTCTATCATCTCGCACTTTCAACGATTTTACATTCTGTGAAAAAAAATGTCTGAATTCAACAATTTCTTCATTTATGAACTACTTTAGAAACCTGAATTTTTTTTTTTGCAGTCTTCCAATCATTTCTCAATTTCCATTAGACCTGAAATTTTAGTCAAAAATATTTGAATGCACAGTTGTAGTGCTACAATTTCTACAATTTAAATTTAAATTTATAGGAATTCTGAATGAAAACCGTACATGTGCTTTTGAGCAAAAATGATTCGAATAGCATTCAGGAAAGCTGGAACCACCCAGACCGATGCACTAAAATGTGAATCATAACAATAGCCAGAAATTCATTATTAACGATCTATCCAGTAATGCTTTATTCTTTTGAAGAATGCAATTAAAACTTTCTGTTTACAGTACTAACACATCCATTAAACAGATTGTTAAAAGCTAATTCTGCAAGTCTATTTAAATTTAATTCTAACTTTTGAATTTAATGGTATTAATATTTTTTAAATTCATACCATAAACATTTTAAGATGCAAGCTATTGTATCATATCAATTCTCTTCCAACCAAATGATAAAATGAAAATATAATGATGCATATAAACTTACAACATAGCAACTTAGTTGTAGTAGTAGTGGAGTAATTAAAACTACTGGTAATTTTCCCATAACACCACAATTTTTATTATTCTCAAAAAATCATGGAAGAGAGTAAAGATCAGATCAGATCAAATCGGATCAGATCATTCGTAAAATTGCCATCACCTGTAAAATTTTCAACTACAATTATATGTTCTTCGTAAGAGAAAGACTTCTTGCACAACTGCTTATATATTTGTTTGTCCACGTACATTTCCAAATGTCAACTCTGATTATCTTTTCCATTTTCACATTTCAAAATATCTTTTCTACTCAAACAATTTTCGATCCAAATAGCCTTGTTGATCTGTATCGACTAGGCTATTGACCTTTTCATTAACTTTCCCAGTGTATTTTGCAACGTATCTAATCAACTTATACATAGCAATGTTCATTCACAAGCAAATGTAATTTAGTCAAGTTTATTCTGTAAAAGCAATTAACTGATTAAAATGAAATAAATGTGTCGCATCACAGGTGCTTGAGACAGAATTGATAATGAACATGGGATATGTGTAATTGACACTTCCCTAGGCAAATATTAGCTAGATAAGGAAATTTGTTGGAACATATGCAGCTCATGAATGGTCCCATGCCATGAGGTGGGAGGAGAGGGAGGAGAGCATATTAATAGGTTATCACGATTTTTACCTCTTGGTAACTGGTTTATCCCCTCTGTACAGAGAACTTGTCATCCATCACATTATTATTCACTCACCTTTATTCCGTTGAAGAGGGAGAAAAGACAGGAAAATCAAAAAACCGGCATACCAAACCCAAAACCAGAACCACCAGAACCACGGGGACATTTCCCCACTAGTCACTGCTTACTGCATGGGGGGTCTTCCAAAAGCAAATGTAGTCTGATGGAAATGATTTAAACAGCCACTATCATTCGATCAAAATGTGACAACCTTTCTCCTCCTTGATTACAATTTTAAGTAAACATATAACATATTATCTCTTATTCTGCATATCGAACTCTTTTGCGACCATCACCTATCAAATTGCATATTAGTCAGTTTCAGCCTCAGGCATAGACAATTCGTTATGAACAGACCAGCTTCCACAAATAAAAAAAAATGAAGAAGATTCAACTCCTCTATGATTTTAAACAGTAGGTAGTATATTCAGCAGGATAAAAATTTGACTATATGGACCAAAATGTGCCGCCCTTCAGACAAGACTATATTGGTGTTATATCTGTCCTGCACTTCTTTCTTCTCTCATTTACTTCCTATCATCAAAAAGCAAGAAATAGTTCTGACCAATTAGCTTCATAAGGGACACTATGAAAGGTCAATTTGAAATTTTCCTATTCTCTACTGGCAAACTTTAGCAAACTCCTTCTACTTCAGAGAAATTTATAGCCCTTCAATTAAATTTTAATGAACAAGATTCAACAAGAGTACTAAAGACTTCCAAAATGTTTAATCAACACAAGGAAAAAAGAACTTTGTGTTTCCATTGTTCAGATGTCGAAGGTCACATCCCAAACACATACAGATAAGGTCAAAAATGGATAGTTTTCTCGGCATTTTTGTGAAACGAAAGAAGGCGCTTTTAGCCTTACAATGTAATTGGTAAAATATAAACATAAAAAGAAAAAAACCAAAGAAATAAAAAAAGAACGCACACACATATCTCAGAAAACTTTCGAAACCGAATCAACAACAAAACTAAGATAAATCAAACATTTCGAACAAAAAGAGTTGAAAATACACTTTTATAAAGCTTCAATCAAAAATCAAAATGAAAAACCATCTTCGATGAAATCTCACCTTCAGAGTACTGCAAAAAAACTTAAGAATCAACTTCCATATAAGTAAAAACGAGATCAAACAGTAACAGTAGGATGAGTGTCCCACAACGTTGTGAACTGCAGAAGATTTCGATTGCGGAGCAGTTTTTGGTGCATAAATACCTTCATGGTTCATGACAGGCGTTGACTCATAATGCTTTGTCGAGATGGAAAGAATAAAAATAACGCATTAATTAATCAACTGCAATATACTAACATGTGGGCGACCACCAGTATTTACTTTCCCTCATCTCTGTACATTATCTGATTTCCATAATACCTTTTCAGTTTAACTATCGAAACAGTAACTCAGAAGAAAGTAATGCCATTAGTGAGCCCATAGTAAATATGTTACTGAATTATATGTAACACGAACATTACTAACTCATTTTGCTATTTCAATGTGGGACAAGTTGATATGTTACTCGTACAACCTTAAAATAACTAACAACTAAACAAACTAAATGACAACTAAATGGAACGCGTGAACTATATAAATACATACGTAATCTGAAAAGCATAATGAGATTCACATTTTGCGGAAAGATATTGGTCCTGTATGGAACGTCTCTAAGACATTTCTTACAAGTGTTTTTCAGCAGAATATTCAGTGACCTGAAAAAAAAAAAAGCGTTAACAGCAAGTTTAAGAAGGTTACACAACGTTTATAGGAAGGGATTTATATTTATAGAATTTTTAATATCTACTCCCTTCCCTTTAATTCTTGAATCCCTTGTTCTCACAAAGTAAAATAGAAGTGGGAAAGATCAGAGAAAACCTCAATGGAAGAAAAGTAATTTCCCTTTAACTTTATCGTCAAAACCAGTTTTTATGGAAATTCCTGACTTGTAATAAATCTCTAAACAAAACATTTTAAATATACACTTGTCTGATGTATACCTTATTTGCCAGCTTTTAATATAGAGCCGGGTTTAGTTGATTTGGTCTGACTACCCGAGAAAAGACTGGAAGTACGCAGAATTGACAAATCTACATCATTCACTTCAACAAGCTTTAGTGGATGCAAACGAAAGGAGTGTGTGGTTGATGAGGAACAATATAATTGCAGGAAATCGACTACATCATCCTGAAAAATGCTCCTTAGTTGAGGTATACGAAAACAACTAGAAAAATAAAATCAGCACCAACATACCACAAATACAAAATATAATCAGAGTTTGAAATAAGTGAAACACACCAGTAAGGCTCTCTGTACGGTTCGACGAGTAAATCGCTCGATGGTTAACCGCAATGTTGAGGGATGCAAATCACAATTTGATGAACCAACAACAATTACTCCCGTGGGGGCTGAAAGTCACAAATTAAATTCAGTAGCCTTTTATTTATCTTTCAATCAAAGATATGTTCTAAAATGTTATGTAGTACTTTACGTTTCAATATTCTACGATGAATGTACAACATATAATGGATTTAGTAAACATGACGAACAAGTAGTTCATTAAGACACTCAGCACGAGAAATATGCAGTTCCGCTTTCTACGATATGTTAGATATATTATTATTCTTTTAAAATCATAATCTGTGCTGGGGCAACAAACCAATCATTCTTGTTGCCATAACTTGCAGATCACGGACATCACAGTCAGTCGCCTGATCGCCAATAACAAATAGTGTTGGACAGTATGTAAGTAGTATATCATCGTCAACATCCTAAACTATGCTATTTCTGAATTATCCCGAAGAGCTTCAAGTATATCAATATTATAAATCTTCTAACTGGAAAGAGTCGAAAATATTTACCAGAAGGATTGAATACAAAAGTAACGAAGTTAAAATAACACAAAAACAATTCCACGCAACCGAAACTTACACCCCGTGGTCCATCGGCTGTCTTCATCGGAAAGGCAAAATTGATAATAGCGGATACATTTGGCATACACTGAACGACCTGAAATACAATAGTATTTAGATCAGCCAAAAGTTCCTTATTCAACAAGTACAAGGACTGCACTTTTATAAATACATAACTTACCTGATGATTTATAACACAAGATGTTCCCCAACCGACCAAAACAATTTTAAGATCTGGATATTTTCGATGCACTTCCACTACCTTACGTGATACCAACCGGATGCAGTAATCAACAGCTTCACATACAGATATATCTTGTGCAGCTGGTAAATTCAATCGTACAGGTTCCACTCTATCTGCTACATTCGGAAGTAAAACCCTAAAAAAAGACTGAAAGTTTAAATCATACAGGGTTCCTTGAAAATGAATCGCCAAAAAAAAAAAGAAAAATATGTCTCAAAGTAGCGCATTCTAGGCAATAATGGAGAAGAATTCTCTGGAAGTTTGGAAGTGGATTTTAATCAGTATTTCTAAAAAAAAAAGTAATACGAACCAAAAGACGCTTACCGAAACATGTATTCGTGTGATCTTGATCTTGAACGATATTCAGCATGCGTGAAAGTCGGTGAAACAGTCAGCAAACAAATATTTTTTGCATGCCTTTTCTGGAAATCTTCCTTTTTTATATTTCAGTATAATCCGTTTTAAAGTTAATAAATCTTAAGAAATCTCAAGTTCGAAGTCTGACACTTGTTACGCATCGGAATAGGACAAAAATGATACATATCTTCTGCTCCTCGACTGCTGTAAAAAATGCAGCACATGAAAGTTAATAAATAGGGATCAGTAAGTTAAAGGAAGTAAGTTTAATGAGATCCGAAATGAGTTTCAATCTAAAAAAAAAGAAAAAAAAACTCGCACAGTAAGCGTTTTAGAGATAGCGACAGTTTGTGGATCCAGCACTTTTTCAGAAATAAAGTCCTGAATGCAAGCATTCACTTTGTTCAAAACTTTGTCTGTAGTGCTTTGGTCTAGAAGGAAATTTAGCAGATACCGACCCTAAAAACACCCATATTAAATATGAACAGAGAAATATGAAAAAACCAAAAAAAGTTCCTAAGACTTCATAAAATTAAGGAACATTTTTCATTCAGAGCGTAAAAATTCAAAAGAGGATTCCACGCTTAGAAAAATTCTGTGTTTGGCTATTCAGGATTTTTTCTAGCATTATAAGAAAAGCCAAAGTCTATAAAGTAATCATTTCGAACTGCATTCTAACTATTCTACAAACATCAAACATAGTACTAACTATTGTCATGCAAAATCTCAACAAATCGATATAAGTAGCCAACATTGGTAAAACCAAATGTCTAAGAAATATTTGGTGTGCCCATTTTGCATTCTCCCGTTGATCCTGAAGTAAAGGAATATTAACCAGAAAATGCGCAGAGAAAACATAAATCATGATTAAGAAAGCCAGAACCAGATAAATACAATCATACTGATTAATGAAGTACTTTAGCTGTGGTTTGCTCATAACTAGTTAACACTGCTTCTGAACTTTCTTATCAAACAATGAGATGGAAAATCAAAACATTGAGGACCGACTGATTTTCATTTTCACTCAACTAACAGAAATTGAGCGCATATGATTTGTCCGAAAGATATTTAATAACAAATGGTTATTCTATCCGCTAATAAGTTTCGATAAAACTTGCAGCCAAACCTTAGTGAATAGCAAAGCCTTATCTCGCAATCGGTGGGCATTCTTCACCATCGTATTGTAGCGTATTGAAGCACCACCAAATACATTCTGGGATGAAACCTCGGAGCAATACTGCGCCGAGATAATGGTTAACATGTCATTCAGTAAACGCTTTCGATCCAGCACTTCGTTTGCAAATCTTAATTAATCATATCGCCTAACAAAATTCGACCAAAAATCTTTCTGCAGGTACAACTCAGCACAGTCAAGTCCATAGTTTAACCTTGCGCAAAAACACCTCAAATTACTCTAACAAATTAACCCAATATCGCCCACAGCTTACAAAGATTTGATCCAATACCTCCTATTAAATGCACCCAATTTGATTGCTAAACTAATTCAGAAAGCATGAAGTTCAAATTATGCAGATACATTGTTTTGACGTTATCCAACGTTAGCAGATATCCATGTTCAACTTTCAGTTCTTCTTCGTTATCCACTTCTGGTCTCGGTATGATCTTGTTGATTTCAAATGCCACACTGATTGCTGAACGACCATCTGGCGCCTCATCATCACCTTCGACGGCTAATTCTGAATCCACATCCACAACTGCATCCCCACCATCTTCTTTTTTTAGATCATCACTGAAATCATAAACCCACTCAATCAGATCTGAAATTATCTAGTCTGTTCTAAATAAAACAATGCGATAAGCTAATAGTTTTTGACATAGTTCAGAATCGAGTAGAAATAAGCTCCTGGTTTTACTGAACCATAGTTGCATGTTCAACTATCAAGATATGGTGTGGTTGTCCGAAACTTCAAAACAGTAGAGAGGCCGGTGTGTAAATACAATACAACAGCCAACAAAAACGACATAATGCGGCTAAATATCCCGTGATTTTTTCATCTTCCGCAGTTCGAAAAATTAACAAACCCTCGCAACAAGATTTCTCGATAGAAAAATGACGGATTGTCGTCGCTTGAACGACTTTTTAAACCAATGGCAAGTGGATTAAGTTTTCGGCGCTGAGCAATACGTTTGAAATATGGCATGTTTTGGTGTGGTAATCTGGAAATTAAAAAAGCAACATCTAAGAGAATATAAAAATTATAAAAATGTAAACCACTTCCCTTTATTTATTACAAATGTTAAAGTTTTTCAAATGTCCATTTTACGAATTTTTAAATTTAGCATGAACCGCGTTGCTTCCTTCCGAATTTCGATTTCCAAGCAATTTGTAAAGCTGATTTAACTTTTCCAGCAGAATCAAGCAGTGAGGGTTTTTAACAATTCTATCTCTTATATTTTTTTATAACTCGTAAATCAGTCATAACATCTTTCAAACCTACTTCTGCTTTGTTTTATCAGGAGCTGACTTTGAGTCTGCTCGCTTGTTTCTTAATCGAGTAGAAATATGGATTTCATTCCCCTCTGAAATGAAGTATTTACTAAATCAATTTGGATTAGTGACAAGATAAATATGCATTTGCAGAACCATAGATCTTCAACTTCGAAATAATCTCACCAGGTTTTGTAGTATCAACATCAACTGACATACTGCTTTTCCGTCGTTGACCTTTCGATATTGACTGCGACATGTTCGAAGACAAATCGTTCGTTCCTTCTGAATCTAAACGGACTCTGCGGCGACGCATACTCGTAGAGCTAATTGTTGTATCTAAAACTAATGTCCGTAAAATAACTATATTCGAAAATCAATTAAGCACTATACTGAGCAAGCATCATATGAAGCGAGGTATCAGAATTTCTGAGTTGATTAGTATCCAGAATATAATTAAATACGGAAAAAAATGGTCCAGACTACCGATATGTTTTCTTCAATAAATATCGATTGATAAATATGAATTACCTTGCTCTGCTCCTTCAGATATTGACAGAGTTCTTCCATCCCGCACCGAACTGCTTGTTTTTTCTCCTGAACGATGTAAGTCTGCAGCACTTCCAATGCTCTCTGCTTTAATCACATCAGTTGAGGCCTTCCTGCTTGCTCCATCATATTCACCATCATAATCTGTCAAATTACTGCTTCTCGGACAAGAATTGATCTGATCCATAAATAAATGATGTATAACGAGCTGATAATAAATACTTCGAACTACAATATAAAAACTGGCATCAATGAAAATTTTAGTCCAAACTTCTTTTTTATATTTGCTAGCAATGGAGAAGGTAAGGTAAAACCGTGACTACATTCAAAATACGAACACTTATGATGCAATAAATGAAATGTTATAAAGCAGAAAGGATTACCTTTCCTTCTTCGGAGTTGCAAATATTTGTATCAAATTCCAGTTTTTCGTCAAACGATTCCTGATGTTTCTCATCAGAATGCTTGCCTAAAATACACTATGTTTTTTCAAAAAAAAAAAAGAAAATACATATTTCATTTTTTCAAAAGGAAGTGTTGAATCACAATCAGAAATTAGCTGAAAATAATATAAAAACTGACTATCAGCAATCGAATTCTGCGCGCGTTTTCGTTTTTGCTTCGACGGTAAGTACCCTGACAAAAGAGCATCACCATCTTCGGTACCACTTTTGAGTTTAGTATCATCGGATTCAACAGAGTCAAAAACATTTAGTTGTGCCACTGCAGGAGTCTTGACGGTATTTGACTTACGCCGTCGGCTAAATAAAGAAGGATAGAGCTGTTCATAGGAAATCGGTCTTTTACGTGTGAGTCGACCTGTCGATTCGCACTCATGTCCTCTTTTGAAAACTGAATCTAACAAACTGTTGTGACATTCCTGAAAATATTAGATTTCAGTATTCAGCTGCTGATTTGTTAAAACATACTTGACAAATATTTTGCATGTTATACGCCTTACAATGATTTCGTATCAAATCCTATTTTAAAAACTACTAGGTCATATACAAACTGACGTATATCAGAACCACTCATCAACTCCTGCTGAGAGCAGGAATGAAACATTGGAGTTGGTGGACAGCATGAATTCATATTTTTTACTGCTTTTCAATGAATTCACCTTTGATGTCTTCAGTATATAATACCGATATTGAAATGCTTCGCTTAGTTGCAAATGTGCCATTTATTCTAATTTGTATTATTGTTATACAGCTAATATATCCATTTATTTCTGCTAAGCTGTGCCCATGAACAGCAAGCCATACCCACTAATGATTTTTCAGGATATTGAGCAGCAGAATAGGCTACTGATTTTTTCTGCTACTAAAGCAATTCGAAACGCTTCTATATTTTTGGATGTTGTGATTTTTTAAGTCAAAAAGACCCTCCAGTAGTTTGAATATAATCATTGAATTACAGTCTGTTGCACCGAAAGTT